AACAACACATGACTGCCTTTTTGTATTATGATTATAAACTGTATTTAATAGTGTCTCTTAAATGTTGACATTCTGGTGATTAATTCATTATTTTCCCTGCAGAAACAAGATTACAAGATGGCTCTTAGAAAATACCGAAAAGCATTGCGGTACTTGGATGTTTGTTGGAATCAAAAAGAGATTGATGAAGGCAAGGCATTTCCTTCTGTGCTAACTTTGTCTTATTAAATGCCCCCTGATATGTCAACAATTCATATTTCTGTTATTTTCTTCTTAACTTCTGAAAGCACTTTCCGTTGATTAATGGTTGTGCAGAGAAGAGTTCTTTATTGCGGAAGATGAAGTCAGTGATCTTCACAAATAGTTCTGTAAGCATTTTTCACAATAACTTCTTATATTTTATTTTTTATTGACTTGATTTTCGTGCCACGTGGACGCAATGCTTTGTTATTGGCTTGTCATGAGAACGAGCTTCATTTGGATCAGAAACCTAAGGGCATATGATGAAATCTACAATCCAAATTCAAGGATTGAATGGTCTTGGCACAACCATCAACTTTATTTGGATACCTTAACTGCTTATGTGGCCGTAGTATTTACATGCAGGACATCAATTTCTCATTTTTATATTTGTAGAGAAAAGAAACCAAGAGATTAATTTTATTATGGATCTCACCTCTTTAAATAGAGGAAAGGACACTTGGGGTACAAGATAAAGTAAATTGGTAAACAAGAAATAAATTACTCAACTATATTAACAATATTATTTACTTCTTTGTCCAGTAATCACATAAACCGATGTTCAAATCTACAGAGTTTTAAACAAAAATGACTAGGGAACATCATGAAAGTTCAAATGTGCAGATTGCGGGTACAAAGGATGTAGTTGCAATGAAATATAATATAAGAGGAAACCATTAATAATATAGTTACCTGTACCATACTATAATGTAGAATGCACTTGCAATGAAATCTTATGGGAACGATTGAACAAATACTAATTTACCTAGTCTGTAGTGGTGGCTGTAGAAGATCATAAAATTCGACTAGAAAGGTCAAGAGAAGGATTATACTTGTATCCAGTCTGATCTACATGTAACAACTGTGTTTTTTGCACTACTGGAGTGTATGTTCTTGCAGATAAACAAGATTTGTTGGTGCATTATTGTCCTTGGAACTAGGATACAATTTCAGTCATTTGATGCACAATTACTTATTAGTTGGGATGTGCTGTTGTCTTAATTCCTAGCTGACCAGACATGAACAGATATTCTGGTTAAATAGTTTTCATGTTCATGTTTGGATGCTTCATTGCTTTGAAATATTATGTAATAAGACGCAACTACCTATCAGCTTGCAAAACTGCACGCTACATTTCTGACCCGACTTGAAAGTGAAATTTGTACTTTGAATTGTGAAGTTCCATGCCAGTGCTTGGGTGCATCCTCTTTATGGAATTTCATTGATGGAAATAAACATTGATTTATTATTACTTTTGTTAAACTTTTTATCTAATTGCACATAATAATGCTCTTTTATATTAAAGTAATATGTTCTTGCGTTGGGTTCATTTCTGTTATGAGGTTTAAATTTCTTTCACATTTGTCTAATAAGTATTGCTTTCTTTTCATTTGCTAGGTATGCAAATTGAAACTGGGGGATTTCAAAGGTGCGCTGCTGGATGCTGAATTTGCAGTGCGAGAAAGAGATGGCTATGGCAAAGCATATTTTCGCCAAGGTCAGGTTAGTGTCTTCAGTTTTTTCTGCTTCTTAATATATCAATCTTTATACCTTCTCCATAGTGAAACATATAATTACATTAGAAAATGTCTAGTTCATTCATCTAATGGATGTCATAGTCGATGCATGATTTTTCTGGTGTATAAATCTTATCTTTGGATCTTTTCTTTTAGTAACACACAGGGAATAAAAATGTGTTAGGGTCTGCTGAGAAATTGGTTAGTTGCAGCAAAAGCAGTTAGTAGATGAGCAGTGATATTTCTTGTGACAGTGAGGAAGCACCAGAAGTGGTCACTCTACGAGCTAAATTTGTAGGTCAGGACAATAGCAATGGATTAAGATGGGTAAAATTAGGTGAATGTATCGTGGTGAAGGTAAAAAGTGAATCCTGGATTTGAATATCGATCTACTGTATCTGCATTAACTTCATTCGATTTTGTGGGGAGTTTGAACTCATATACTAGCAAATTTCTGGTTTGGAAAACTGAAAATAACTGATGGAGAATGAAGGGACATGGCATAAAACATTGATTGATATTCTATAGTTACTTGATATTCGTTGTGAATGTAAGTAATTATCCAGAATTATTAACATCTTATTCGGCTATTTTATCAATCATTTTTATAAAAAAAAATTCAACAATTTTTTATCATTGTTAATCACTTTTGTTTCTTAATTTAAATTATCGACAGTGTTTGTTCATTTTCCCCTTTTCTTCACCACCTACTTCATGAGTAATTAAAATTTTAATGTTTGACATTTTTTAAAATGTTGAAAAGTAAAAAAATCTAGATAAAATTTTATAAAAAAATCTAGATAAAATTTTATTTAGCTTTCTGAAAATGCAAAATATCTAGTAGGTTATATTATATAATCTGCTGAGATCAGATAAGACATCTTGTAAAAACAACAACAATTTTCATTATAATAATAATTCACAAGTTATTGTCAGTCACTAATCATGGAGAAAAGTTTTCATCATTTAATTACCTCGTCGCAAGTTTGACTAAATGTTATACATGGCTGTATACTAGTTCGATGACTCGAAAGGCCATGTAGCCTTCTCCCATGGGAGAGAAAGGGAGATGATCTGAGTTTGGAAGGAAATGAAACTTATATATATAAAAGAAGGTTTAGACGGCCTTGGTACCGTGGTTATTCATGCACGGCCTGGAGAGAGAGACGCAGAAGGGTAAAGAGGGTATTGACTGTTTCGACTAGTAGAAAGAAGTTGATGGGCCTTTAGCTAGGGATTGGGTCTACTGGTCTACACCATCTACATCGTTAGGATGGTTTTCTGTCAGTTTAACCGAGTTGTCTTCAATTAGTTTTCCCACATAACAACAACATCATCAAAGTCTTTATTCCAAATGTTTAGGGTCGGCTGCATAAATTCTATTCTTGCATTCCATTCTATTATGGGATATCTCATTCGTTAAGTGAAGCATTATCATATCCTTCTTAATTGCTTCCAACCTAGTTCTTTTAGGTTTACCTCTAGATCTCGTGGCCTATTAACTATAATACTATTACTTTTTCTAACCGGTGCACTAAGAGGTCTCCGTTGTACATGCCCAAACCATCTTAGTCGATTCTTTCTAATTTACTATGGATGCACTCCTTTCGTACCCTATATTTTAGTGTATATCCACAATACCATCGCAACATTCTCATTTCTGCTACACTCATCTTTTGCACATGTTTTTTAATTGCCCAATACTGATCCATAAAGCATTGTTGGTCTTATAATCATCTTATATAATTTTCCCTTAGTTTCATTGGTACCCTGCGATCACATAAGACTCCCGAAGCACTCCTCCATTTTAGCCATCCCGTTTTGATTTAATGAACAACATCATCCTTAATCTATTCATCATGCCGAATGATTGATCCTAAATAGAGAAAATGATTAATTTTAAATATTTCTTAACCATCAATATGTACAATAGGTTATTTCCTTTCGTTTACTTTACTAAAAATACACTCCATATATTCTATTTTTGTTCTACTAATTCTAAAACCTTTAGATTCAAGAGCTTGTTTCCACATTTCTATTTTAGAAATTATACATCTTCTAGTTTCGTCAATTAACATTATATCATCTGAAAATAACATACACCATGAGATTTCATTTTGAATGTGCCTAGGAAGTTGCTCAAATCATTTTTTCCACATTCAACCAGACTATATGTGAATGCAAAAACAGTTGATACTCCGATTGAATGGATTACATGGAAGTTTGCAGATCGTATGTTTTTATTGTGAGTCATATATTGAATGTTAAATTTTGGTTAGCAGAAGCAGAAACAGATATGAGGCTATATACTCATGAACGAACTCAATAATCATCTATAAGTAATTAGACTTTAGAAGCATGTCATGAAGTAGCAGTAGCACCCAAACCACGGCCTTAGTGGGATCAGTCAGTAACTAAAAAATAAAAAAAAATTCTTTTGAGAAAATAGGAAGTAAATGAAATGGAACACATATAAACAACATGTTGATGTCACACTTGCACACCTCGGTGCCTTCGATGTTCATAACTAAGGGCTCCTTAATTGCATAGGGTGTTGAGGAGGAAAAAGATCAGTAGCCGAATTTTGGGGAAAGTAGTGGTGCAATTTGAGATTTATATATTTGTAGAATTTATAGTGGCTAATCAATCAATTGTTGGATTTGAACTCGCATGCAAAAGCTTCCGGTGTTTGGAGCTGATCTCCAAATTGATTATTCACTTGCGTAATCATGTATGTGTGTGGGTGTGCAGAACCTGCATTTGTCCAGTTACAAGTGCCAACAACTTTTTGGCTGCATAGTTTAGTTTCATGCGAAACTGAGTCTCATACATTTATGCAGCCCTCTTTGGATCAATAGCCAATTCATGATCAGTTGAACTGTGTGAAGACAAACTTAAAGATCCGTCCTTTGATCACTTATAGGGGATTTGCTATTTACTAGTCCATTGATTTGTAAGTCAGTGACTCTGCAAATTATCTTTTAACAGTTTCAGTGGAAATTGTTACTATGCATATCTTGAGAGGTTAACACTTAACACTAAGTGGTACTAGTGGATTCCCATAGATTTTACTAATTAACTTCACGTGTGATGCGAGCCAGTTGACTTCCTATATTGGTGTGGTGAAGAGGAGCTAGTTTAGAATTTTCACTTATCTTTGTATTTGATACACATTTTTTTCATCTTGACAACTGTTCTCTGGAAGTTGTAGATAAGTCTCCAAGTATGTGCTTACTGTTATTTGCATTCTTTTATTTGTTCGTTGTGACTATTAAATTTTTTTACCCATCAGCATTTTTGCCCAGAAATATTGCCTTCTTATTGAGCCACGAATGTCTAATTTTTGGCTTGTAAACAATTTTCAGGCACATATGGCACTGAATGATGTGGATGCAGCAGTAGAAAGCTTCAAGACAGCATTAGAGCTGGAGCCCAATGATGGTCAGAATCGTCAGATCTTCACATAAATTTCACTTCTCTCTTTAAACATGTTTTTACGTGTCAAGTGATCTTATCTACTTTCATGAAATGTATTTATTGCAGGAAAGATAAAGGAAGAACTTGCTGCCGCGAAGAAGAAGGTCAGTGGATATATATGAGCCCATTTTTGCACCTTGAAATATTTTTGTTGCTAAAATGGTTTACAGATTGCTGATAGGCGAGATCGAGAGCGAAAGGCTTATGCTAGAATGTTTCAAGCATCAACCAAATCAGGCTCAAATGATGAGGTTACGGAATGCTAATAGTTAGTTACTTTTTTTATTAGTTGCAGTTGATTAAAAATTGATGAAAGCTAAAAGGGAGGTTCATAGAAGGAAGATGAGGACAATTCTGAAAAAAAGATTATTTTGAAATTTAATTAAAAGAGGACCATGCTAGTATTTAAAACAATCAATTTTTGGCTCATTAGCATTATTGACCAAAAGTAGGTTCTGTTTTTGGCTTATTTTCACTTAAATATCCCAGAGTTGGGCATGTTTCCGGCAGTGTTGCCAGTTTTGTGTATATACGAAAATGAAAATTTAAAACAACACCCAACCGTCAGCCAGCACGCTGATGTTGTTGAAAGTTAGTCATTTTTGTAAACAAATGGCAAGTTGATGCGTTCTATAATAAAACTGAAAAGTTATTTAAAAAAGATATTTAAGTTGTTATTTATGTATAGCATCTGCCATCATCTGCTTTTACATATTTTCTTTTTGCAGGAATAACAGTGATGAATTCATTCAGCTCTAAAACTTTCAAAATTTGTTTTTACTGCCGATGACAAGCTGAGCAGTTTTTTTGTTGGCATAGGGAGGTAACTATACTTCCATTCATCCTTCTGCCATTTTTCGATGCAAGCCTTGTTGCGTGTCCTTATGGTATTGTTTTTGTCTGCAGGTGTTTGTAGGAATAAGAAGCTGATTAACTGTAGTTCATTTTTGATGCGGACGAAAGTTTTTCATTTCTTGAACCTTTTATTGTATTTGTAGTGTCTGGAGGGACGCAGTAAAAACCATTGTAATGGTGCTTGACACACATGTTTGAGGACTTCAACTTACGTCATCTCAACTAATTTCTTTGAACTTGTGCAAAATGTCACATTGTTTTTGTGGAACGGACAGTTTTTCATATATTTCAAAATTCTCGGTAACTGGAATATTTCAAACTATTTTTTTAATATTTCTGACAATCCTTTGTGCAAAGCTCTGAAGCGAACATTTCCGCTTCAGAACATTTTCAGGACTAAAATTAAGTATCCTGTTGTGGTTATCGTGAATTATTTACTTTTATCTGTTGAAGGTATGGGAGTCTCACAGGCTGCTTCCGTTGCATGATATAGTTGTCCGTGGGGAGCGTGGACTGCTTAGAAGGGAGAAAGCTATGAACTTTGTTTTGATTTATGTGCTTCATTATTGATCTATATGCTATAACTACTTACAATTTTAATTCTGGCCTTAAAAGGAGGATTAATCCAAATAAAAAGTAGAGAAAGTCAGTTTTCATTGAACAAGAATTATCTCTTAGTATTACCTCAAAAAAAAAAAGAATTATCTATTCGTAATTTGAGTATTCTAGGAAAATGCCACATTCTCATTTTTGAGAACTAGTAGTGCCCCCTAATTTGCATGTGGAGGTACATGTTTTACATTATGGAAATTTTTTTGTTGACTGCAAAATGGTGAAGCAATTTGTATATATTGAACTTTTAGAATTTATTATTTACTTAAAGCATTATGTGTAAAGAATTATATGGATAACTATTACAATTTGGATAATTATAGTAACTTAACCATAATTTATTTAAATAGTTATAACATATTAAATGTCTAATATTACAATATCTTAATTATTATTATAATAGTAATGTCTATAATTTAGGATATTTTATAATAGAGTTGAGCTAGAGTACTATTAATAGCCCAATTTCGAAACTTGGAAATAAAAGATGAAAATTCAAACCCTTGGATGCTTATGATCTATCAAGAAATAAAATTTCAAAAGATGTCAACATTATTAACGCAATGTATAATGAATCATCGTCAACATTTCAAAATTTGTAAAGTTATTTAGCACCCCTTGATATATGACTCAAAACACATTGAAATCCTTTAAAACTTTATTTATAAGTAGTTCATCTGTCGTAGATTACATTCACTAGATTAAATTGTCTTTGCTTCTTATTGTTTTCATCGCAATGCCCATTCGCCTCAAGCCCTTATTAACCTATGGTTGGTATAGCATATAACTTGATATTGACAATAAACTTGCAATCTGACAACGAGAAAATTCACATCTTTCTATTTAAGAATTTCGTACTTGAAATCCTTATTAAGTCGTTTCCTTTATAACATTTAAAAATATGGATTACTTATTTATGTTCCGCATTTAGCTAATAAAATAGTGAGACTAGCAGGATGTCAATTCCCCAAGCCAGAGAAGTTGTGTGGGTTCATTTATGGATATTTTAAGAATAAAAAGTTTATTACAGAAATGAATTTTGATGAATCTAAATGGAAGGTTCTGCATGATGTTGAAATTATGCCTTAAAACCCTCTGATTGTTCAATTCAGTCAACATATCATTGACAATCAAAAGGAGATCATCTATAATGGATTATTTCCGCTTTATTGTGCACTTATTCTAACACATGCTATAAGGTTTTCACATGAACAACTTAGATTTATATATTGTTGTTTAGATCGAGCTGTTATGACAAGGACGTCGCTAGTTCAAAGTGGAAGAACGGGATGTTAGATTTAGACACGTAACATGTGTAAATATAGTTAGGTTAGTTTCGCCATGTTAGATTAGACACATAACATGCATAAATATAGCTAGGTTAATTTCTCCATGTGTACATGCTTGTGCACACACAACAAACACATATACATATGTTGTTTCAAGGAGGCCGTTGGTCCAAAGCGGTAGGGAAAATATTGTATTAGACACATAACGTGCACTGATAATAGTAAGGTTAGTTTCAACATGTGAACATGCTCATGCACTCACACTAAACAGATCCCTGGTTGTTATTATTTTTCTCCTCCATTCATTTTACAATCTCTAGTTATAAGAATTATCTGTTAAAAAATTTCTGGATGGTCCTTGCCAACATATTTTTGTTATTAAGTTTTCACCCTTTTTCCTACGGTACAATGATGACCCCCATTTCGCATATAACTAATTGTTTCATTTCTTAATTTTCCTTTGTCTTAAACTAGCTATTTTGCAAAAAAAAATTCTATCATCATCCTTCGTGTATACACACATTTCCAAGAAAACAATTTAACAGTAGAAAACCCTAATCTAATGAAAAATTGATAATATGTAGAACATACTTCTGTCTTAAACATGTTCATCTTTGTTTTTTAGGTACTTATCAACAATCAAGTCACGTAACGCAGCATGAATTGATGCTGCATAGACACAAAATGTTATCTTTTAGTGTTTAGCGTGCCAAGATCATGGGTGTCACCATGCTTGTAATGGTTCCGTGATTCGAATTGTTATCTGTTCATTCATTCTTTGTCCAGAATTTTGTTAATTGATAGTCATATTTATAAAAAATTTCATTAAAAAGCTTCTAAAATGATGTTCTATGCTAGCATAGCAATCTTTTGCATTCCCATACTTTATACCCCTTTGCTCTACAGTTTATAAGCTTTATGGTTTCATAACTAGGACGAACTCGCCATTTAAGATACAAATTTTGAGAATTAAACATGACATGCACAAGTTCTACACATTTTTGTCTTAGCAAGTCTCTGATGACATCTAATGCTAGCCAAGCCAGACATGGCTTCTTTTTTTATTTATTGTAGCCCTGTAGAAAAAAAGTAGATTGCATATCCTTTAGTGCAACAATTAAACATTTTAGTGAGGTATGCCTGATACCTGGTGAATACATCACTTTAGAGGTATACAGGGGACTGGGGTATTCAAAGCCATCCACTAATCACTGGTAGGGGATGTATGTTCTTATTAAGATCGATCTGAAGCATCTCTTAAATAAAATATTTTATGAATGCCTTGATATAGGTTCAATAAATTCTGAATGTCATTCTGGTTAGGTTTAAGAATTGCAGAGAAACAGAAAAAGATCAAGAAGATCAAGTTATTATTCATTTAATCCTAGCCTCTCCTAAATAGAGGTTAGGAGGATATTATAAAATATGTATGATATAAAACATATCCAATCACATCCCAAATATCCTCCTAACCTCTATTTAGGAGAGGCTAGGATTAAATGAATAATAACTTGATCTTCTTGATCTTTTTCTATTTCTCTACATGGTATCAAAGCGATAGTTCTTAAAATAAAATATTCATAGCCTATTCTTTAAAGAGCTTTGCTACAGGGACCCAAAATATGGGACCAATAAAAGGGACAAGTGAGGTGTCCCCCTCCTATTGGATAATGAGTTGGCCATCATTAATGATGGCCAACTCATTATCCAATAGGAGGGGGACACCTCATTTGTCCCCCCTATTGTTCCCATATTTTGGGTCCTTAAAGAATTTTTCTTCTTTAAACCCTAGCCCCTCCACTAGTCAAATCCATCCTCCTCAGTGCGTCGCCACCTCCTCAGTGCATCGCCACCTCCTTGGGTCATTATCGCACCCAGGGGTCATCATCGCCCCTTAGGGCTGCCTCCTTAGGGCGCCGTCCCGTAGGCAGCTGTGTCGCTATGCTCTGCAACTGTCGGCCGTACACATGCGGTTCACGGTTTGTCATGCGGTCTTTGCTCTCGTTGCCAGTCACGGATGTTATGATTCTGCTGTTGCCGTCACGGTTGTCACGATTCTCCTTGCTATGATGGCTTTCTTGCTATAGGAACAAATGTAGTATGATTTATCTAATTGTCTTTTCTATTATTGAAGAGTTATTTTTGGAGTTTGTTGGATTTTGGTCGGCATTGATGTTTGGTGATGGTGTTTGAGTTTGGAATTTATTCTTTCGGTAGTTAGTTTGGCTGTTTGATGGTGATAGGATGGTAGGAGGGGTTTGGAGTTGTTTGATAGGCAGTAGATTGGTGTTAGCAGTTTGGTTTGATGTTTAAAGGAGTAGGGACGTGCTTGGTATTCATTTTTCAGTCAGAGGGTGGTCATATGGTTATCATTATGGTCACCGGCATTAGGATTAGCTTATATGGACTGGACTTGGCATTGTCATCATTCTCAGGAGGAGATTAGTTTAGCTATGAGGGTTTTTGCGAGTTTTAATAAGGCTGCTTGAAGGATTTGTTAACCAGCGTGGTCCAAGTTTGCGTTGGTGACAATTATTTTGTGGGGATTACATTGGCAAAGATCATTTGGAGATCAGTTCGGTAAGGATTGTTTTGTTAAAGTTTGTATGTATGTGTTCAATTTGTTTTGTTGGTTTGCTTGGTGGATCCTGAAGTAGATCGTCTGTTTGGTTGATCCGTGAAAAAGATTATTTATTTGGTTGATCTGTGGAGATGATAGTTTTTTTCACTGATCCTTTTAGAGGATTATTTGTTAGGTTGATCCATTGAGAGGTGTTGGTTTTGGAAGTGTGAAGACCGAAACCTAAATCAAAATCAGCAAGGAAGCCGAAAAATCCAGCATCGGTCGACCGACGGACGTGTGTCGGTCGACCGAAACGCCTGTAGGAAACCAAGCCCAGAAACACGCTCTAGCTAGTCGATCGACGCAAGGGCACCGGTCGATCGACGCAAGGGCACCGGTCAACCGAAAGGTGCACCAGAAACCCTGTAGAAAACATGGCTCTAACCGATCGACCGACGCCAATGCATCGGTCGACCGACAACAGGATTTCTAGATTACCAGTTTGTTTAGGAATCTATTTTGGGCTGGGTTTATATATTTCCTAAAACGTTTTAGGGTTAAATTATACACGAAAAAAGGGGTTTTGACGGCTCTTTGAGAACAAATATCTTAGAGAGAGAGAGAGAGGGAACAATTGCGAGCATTGTAATCTTCTTCAATTAATCAAATAATTTCTAGTGTGGCTCCCGAGTACGTAGGAACGTTTGCCGAACCTCGTTAAATCTGGTGTTTTCTTCTTTTGCTCTTTATTTCCTGTAAGTTTTCTTTTATTTATTGTGATTTCTTACTTGCTTACTTTGACACAAGATCCGAAAGGGCATGGGTTGTGTGTTTAACCCCAGCAACTGGTATCAG